TCTGACACTCAGTCCTTCTTTGAGCTTCTACAGACTTATTCTCTCTTTTTAAAATTCAGCTTTATTTTATTTTTAAAAAATATTTTCCCTAATTATATGTAATGACAATTTTTGAGATTCATTTAAAAAGATTTAGAGTTCCACATTCTCTCCCACTTCCTCTCTCCCCCCAGTGGTAAGCAATTTGATATAGATTACACATATGTAATCATGTAAAACATATTTCCATATTAGGTTGTGGAAAAAAAACACAGACCAAAAAAACCAACCCCAACACCACCACCACACACACAAAAAGTGAAAAATGATATGCTTTGATCTGTATTGAGACTTCATCAGTTCTTTCTCTGGATGTGGTTAGCATTTTTCATCATGAGTCTTTTGGAATTGTCTTAGATTAGTGTATTGCTGAGAATAGCTTTATCATTCACAGTTGATCAGCATACAATATTGCTGTAACTGTGTACAAAATTCTGGTTCTGCTCACTTCACTTTGCATCAGTCCTTGTAAATCTTTCCAGGTTTTTCTGAAATCATCCTGCTCATCATTTCTCATAGCACAATAGGATTCCATCACAATCATATACCACAACTTGTTCAGCAATTCCCCTATTGATTCCCCTTAATTTCCAGTTCTTTGCCACCACATAAAGAGCTGCTATGAATATTTTTGTACAAATGATGGGGTGGGCCCAAGCCAAGATCTTAGACCCTTGCACCAAAGGGAATCTGACTCCCATTTGTCTACAGGCCCCAGCCGCTCATCTCCCTTTGAAAGCCTTAGCCTTACCTTTTAATCTTATTCAGATGCAGACTTTGCCCCTCGCCCTAAAAGAATCTGGCTCCCTTTTGTCTATGGGCCCCAGAAAGCCTTTACTGTGGTCTCAAAAGGTTCCTTATCAACTCCCCTTATCTCCCCTTGAAAGCCCTAGCCCCACCTTTTGATGTTATGCAGATGCCTTTCAAAGGTCTACCTTCCAGTTCCCTTCACTATCTATTTCCATTGTTATTCAATCACTGAGACCTTCCTATGGGAATTCTTACCTAGACCCTTTTCCCAGCCCCCTCCTCTGGCTACCCAAAGTCACTTTAGTATATAAGATCTACCCTGGCCCCCATTCAGAGGCTGAGAATCTCGTGCCCAAAAGGCTGAGCCTTTCTCACATCTGCTGGTCCTTACTGGCATCACCTGGCCTATGTGATTTATCACTAATAAACTTTTCCTCTGGCTGGAAGAATTCTTTTAGGCAGGGCCCAGTGTTGCAGTCTTGGGGTTCCCAGCACCCCAAAACCACTAGACCTCTTCACAAATAGGTTCTTTTCCTTTTTTAAAAAAAAATCTCTTTGGGATACTGACCTAGTAGTGATATTGCTGGATGAAAGGGTGTGTACAATTTTGTAGCCCTTTTGACATAGTTCCAAATTACTCTCCAGAATGGCTAGATTAGTTCACAATTCCATCAACAATGCATTTGTGTCCCAATTTTTCCACATCCATCATTTTCCTTTTCTGACATATTAGCCAGTTGATAGGTGTGAGGTGGTACCTCAGAGTTGTTTTAATTTGCATTTCTCTAAGCAATAATGACTTAGAGCATTTTATCATATGACTCTAGATACCTTTGATTTCTTCATCTGAAAATTGCCTATTCATATCCTTTGATATGCAGTTATCAATGCAGTAATTTCTGGCTATCCAAACTTTTTCTTTAATAGCTTATTTTCTACCATGCCTGACTTTTATCCTCTTCCCATGTTCTGTGTAGTTGGGAGGACATTTTTTTTTTTTGGTGAGGCAGTTGGGATTAAGTGACTTGCCCAGAGTCACACAGCTAGTAAGTGTTATGTGTCTGAGGCCTGATTTGAACTCAGGTCCTCCTGACTCCAGGGTTGGCGCTGTCTCTACCTAGCTGCCCCCATTGGGAGGACATATTTAAGAGTTATCCAAGCTGCAAACGAGTCTAGTGAGCATAGTTTTATTCGGATAATCCTCTTTGGTTTCAGATAAACTGGCACCTCGTCTCACAAGGAGGGATTGTACCTCCTCCTCACCTCTGGCCTATTCCTTCCATGTTCAGGTCAAGTGCTGTCTCCTCAAAGGAGTTAATGCTTTTCTGTTAGCCTGCTTTCCCTCCTGAAGTTATCTTTGGTTTATTTATCAAGTTATCAGCAAGCATTTATTCTGAGCTTACTACTTCCAGGCACTGTGCTAAGCATTGTGAATACAAATAGCAGCAAGAAAGAAAGGCAGCTCCTGCCCTCAAGGAGCTTCTATTATTCTTGTGGTGGAATGTGACTTATCAAAGGAAGCTGGGGAAGAGGGGAAAGGTAGCCGGGGGTATGGTGGAGAAAGTCGTCCAGGGAGTCCAGAGCTGGGGCCTGAGAGGATTGAAGTAGTGTTTGTGTAGTACTAGCCTGCAGCCTTCCTTAAAATGAAGGTTTGGGGAGGAACTGACCAATCAGAGGAAGGGACTACGTGGGGCAAAAGGATCTTTTTTCCTGGGTGAGAATGCTTATCTGTGTAAATGTATTCCTGTAATAGAATGTAAGCTCCTTAAGGGCAGTGACTCCTTCTTATTGCTTATGTATCCCGTCACTTAGGACCATCTTACACTTTGAAGTTGCTTAGTAAATTTTTGTTGAGTTGAATTGAGTTTTTCTTTTCCCATGGTATGGGTAACATTTTTTGTTTTCTCTTTATCATTTCAGATGATGGATCTGAGACTGAAAACATGGAGTCTCTTTCAAATCTGGAAGTTTCTGAAGATGTTGAATCAGAAGAGAAGTTATCATCTGAATTCCCAATAGCTCTTCCCCAAGGACCTGATTTTGGGGAAACCCTTGACAGTGAACTCTATGCATATGATAAGTGTAGGACTGCTTTCCAGTGGGGCTCACACCTTATTCAACATGAGCCAGTTCACAGAGAAGAAAAACCCTACGAATGCAATGATTGTGGGAAAGCTTTCATGAGGAGTTCAGATCTTATTCGTCATCAGAGAACTCATAGTGAAGAAAAACCCTATGAATGTAGTGAATGTGGCAAAGCCTTTAGACAGAGCTCAGGTCTTAGTCAACATCAGAGAATCCATAGTGAAGAGAAACCATATGAGTGCAACATTTGTGGGAAAGCCTTCAGGCAGAGTTCAGGCCTTAGTCAGCATCAGAGAATTCATGGTGGGATAAAACCCTATGAATGTAGTGAATGTGGTAAAGCCTTTAGGTGCAACTCAGACCTAACTAAACACCAGGAAATTCATAGTGGACTAAAACCCTGTGAATGTAAGGAATGTGGGAAAGCCTTTAGGAGTACTTCAGACCTCATTAAACATCAGAGAATTCATAGTGGAGAGAAACCTTATGAATGTAATGAATGTGGGAAAGCCTTCATGAGGAATTCAAGCCTTATTAAGCATCAGGGAATCCATACTGGAGTGAAACCCTATGAATGCAGTCAATGTGGGAAAGCCTTCAGTCAGACTGCAGTCCTTATTCAACATCAGAGAATTCATAGTGGGGAGAAACCATATGAATGCAATGAATGTGGGAGAGCCTTCACCAGGAAATCAGACCTTATTGTTCATCAGAGAATACATACCGGAGAGAAACCCTATAAATGTAATGTGTGTGGAAAAGCCTTCAGTCGAACCTCTGTCCTTATTGAACATCAGAGAATTCATACAGGAGAGAAGCCTTTTGAATGTAATGAATGTAGGAAAGCTTTTAAGAGGAGATCAGACCTTATTCAACATCAGAGAATTCATAGGGGAGAAAAGTATTATGCATGTGATCAGTGTGGAAAAACCTTTACTCAGAGCTCAGGCCTTATTCATCATCAGAGAATTCATAATGGAGGGAATGTTTATTAATGTAATGAACATGGGGAAGATTTTATCTGGAGCCCAGTCCTTACTGAGCATCAGATAAAAACCCTCTGAATATAATGAATGTGAGAAAGCTTTTAGCAGACTTGTGACTTTGCTCTGTCCTGATATAACACACTGGAACTAGGCTTTGGAGATTTATGAATTTCTGGAAGTTGGAATCATGTCTTTGTAACTCATTTTATATAGCATCAAGTCTAGTGCTACTTCCAGATTGGCTCTTTAATAAACACCTTTTATATTAGTGATTGATCTAGATGACGTCTTGGGAGAGCCTTTTGACACATTGTCCTCTTTAATTCTATAGGGAATGAAAACTTTAGGAATGGATTCACTGGAAATGTTTTGCTCTTTGACAATTAGATTACCCTGTTCCTGCTTTCTATAGACCTATGTAGGTATGCCAAGAGTTCTGGTGCCTTCTCCTTATCCCATTACAGCCACCCTAGGGAAAACCATGGCAGCTGCAGGCATCCCTCAACTGATTAGTCTTTCTTCTTAGAAAGGAATTCTCATTGTTTTTCAAACCCAAGGAGTAAGGCTCTGAAGAATAGATCCAGGGTTTTATTTTAGCTACTTACCTAGCTATGTGGCTTTGAGCAAGTTAGCCAAACTCTTTGGGCTTAGATTTCTCATTTGTTAAGTGAAGTTGAGGCAGCTAGGTGGTGAAGTGAATAGGGGGCAGGCATGGTCTCAGACACTTACTAGCTGTGTGAACTTGGGCAAATCACTCAATGCTGTTTGCCTGAGTTTCCTCATCTATAAAATGAGCTGAAAAAGGAAATGGCAAACTGCAGTAGTATCTTTGCCAAGAAAATACCAAATGAGGTTACAAAATGTCAGACACAACTGAAACGACTGAACAACAACAAATTTCTGAAAAACAGCTGAATCAAATGAGGTTGAATAGGATGATCTGGGTACCTGTTGCCTTTCAGCTGTAAGATGTGATTATGAATAAGAAGAGAGAAAATTTGAAGCGTAATTCTAGTATTCATGTAGTATATGAGGATATGGTCAGGGTGTTTCTCAGCAAAGACCATCTGATGGATGAATTGATAGAGATTAGGAAAGCAAAAAGAAAATGAAATTTTAGGACCAGCTTTTCTCCTGTTCTCATCTGATTTGTCCTCATCCTTCAGCTTCACAATCATGAAATAGCTCAATGGCTTTTTTTTTTTTGTGAGGGGGAAGTACGTGGAGAGGAGGGTTGTAGAATTTCTTTGAATTTTAACATCAAATTCCACAGGGAGATTTAACTCTTTTGTGCCTTTGTTTTGTTTGGGCAAATCATTTATCTCCCAAACTCTCTGTAGAATTATAGAGTCTCACAGTTTGGAAGGGACCATTTTACCCAACACATACATGAAGGCTGAGTAGCCTTCTGCAGTGTCTTTGACAAATGACCTCCAGAACTGGGCATAGTACCACAGATAACAAGCTAATGGAAGTAGAGAATACTGAAACTATCATTTCCTTCGTTCTGGACACTGTGCTGCCATTGAAAGCAGCCTCATATTGCATTATCTCTGTTGGGGCTACTATTGACATACTGATCTTGTAGCCCATTAACACTTTCAGGTGTTTTTCACGTGAACTGTTCAGTATCCTCCATCTCGACTTATGAAGTTTATTTTGAAAGACTAACTTAGGATTTTAACATGAATGCCTTTTAAATTTCACCTTATTAGGTTTGGCTTGTCGTAGCCTGTTGAGACCTTTTCTAGATCTTGATTCTGTTAATGATGAGTATGTATGCTGTAATCCATGTTGTCGATGAGTATATTGAACACAGCAGTACTAAGGGTGATCTATGTGCACTTCACTAGAAACCTCTTTCTAGGTTGATGAATCAGGGCTTCTCACTGAAGCTACTGGAAAATAATGGATTTTGTTTCTCTACTAACCCTCTGGCCTCAGTCTATGAAGCTACAATTTCTAGCTATGCTCTATCCAGCTACTGAAGCTCCTGATCTCATTTATCTATCCTCAGAAACTCAGGTTCAGGAAAGTTAAAGTCTATTTCTTTCCTATTGGGAAAAAAAAATGGCCTTCATACTTTACTGTGTGCCCTAAAGTACTGGGAACTGTGAGAAAAACAAGGAATGGAAGTCCATGGCCTCAGGAAACTTGCTATCTGTGGAGAAGTTAAAAAAAAAAAAAGACTAATATAAGACATAAGCCTGTGGATGGTGAGAGAAAAGGGCACCTCAATAAATTGAACAGAATTGATTCTCTCCAGACAAAACGTTTCTTTGAATTTAAGAACAAGCATCTTCCCACGATGACTTTTGGTGCTACCTGGGAAATGATTTCCACTTTAGTACACAGACTTAATTGGAGACTGATTTAGAAATAACATTTAATGGAATTTCATTAATATTATTGCAGTCATTTATTTGGGGTCAAGAGTCCTAAAAGGGAATACTATATTTAATAATTAGTATAATAATTTCAACTTGCTGAAAGATTTTTGTTAGATTAAAAGTGACTTCTCCTAAACCAAGGATGCTTTATCACCTTGACATCAGCATTAAGCTTAAATCCTAGCAGTTCCCTGGGAGGAATGAGTTAGTCTACTTTGATCTCTGTTCTTTTAAGATGTAGGGAAAAGTAGTCAGGTATAGAGTACTGAACTAGCCCCAGAAGATTGGGCTCTGCCATTTCCTGGCTGTGTGAGCTTGGGTACCCATTCTCTGGGCTTTGTGCTGGTATAGACAAAGGGACTGCATTACATTTCAAACAAAGAGGCTTATTGGGAAATAATTACTGTGATGAATCACGCTGGCAGATGCAGGTATCTTGTCAGGTGTTAATCAGGAGGACTGGGTGATGGACTGCAAGATGACGTTGAGATTTCTTTACCTGAAGCCACAAAAAAGTATTAAGGCCTTGGATGTACAGATTCATCCCAGCTATCTTCCAGCGACTTTCCTAATAATATCAAATGAAACGTAAAACAGTTGATCAGTGTGTCTATTAAGTGCCATAGATATTAGAGTTTTTTAAAGGGCACTAGGTATACAAAGACAAAAATGCAAAAAAGATCATGTTCTCAAGAAGCTTACATCCTATTGAGACTACATGTTATTATATACAGACAAAAATTGGGGCTATGACACTCATCCTTTATTACTTCCATTAAGGGGTTTCTGACCTTAGATTCATATATATATATCAGAGTTCAGTCCTAAGGAAATCTGGTGCTTTCCTCCCTCCCCCAAATAGAGAAGTCAGGCTCTCTGGCCTATCTCCATATAGGCTTCATGGGATGGCCACTGTTAAAAAAAATTGATACGAAATAAGTACAAGGTAATTTTTTGGAGGGAAGGCACTAAATTGGGGGTGGTGTGGTAGGAAGCCATAAATTCTGTTGTGATTTTTTTTTGGCTAGGCAATGGGGTTAAGTGACTTGCCCGGGGTCACACACCTAGTTAGTATTATGTGTCTAAGGTGGGATTTGAACTCAGGTTCTCCTGACTCCAGGGCCAGTGCTCTATCCACTGTACCACCTAGCTGCCCCAAAAGCCACAAATTCTATGAGTATGAGGTAGAGAAGGAGGAAATGCAGGGATAGCTGGCCAGTTTGGCTTTACCATAGAGTGCATGAAGGAGAGTAATGTATATAACAGGGCAGAAAGGTTAGATTGGAGCCTTTAAATACACTTTAAATGCCAGGTAGAGGAGTTTGTATTTGATCCTTGAGATAACAGGGAACCATTGGAAGTTATTGAACAGGGAAATGACATGGATAGATGGAGAATGGATTGAAAGGGAGGGAAAGACACCTGAGTTGAGACCAATTAGGAGAGTTTTGATATCAAGAGAAAGGTGAAATGGCCCTAACTAGCTCAGTATATCTGGAAATTGATGCAGTTGATGTTGTAGAGATAGAATTCAACACGACTTGGCAGCTGATTGAATAGATGGATGGAATGAAAGGAGATGAGGACTAAAGGATGATTCCAAGGTTACAAATGTGTATGACTGGAAGAATGGCTGTGTCCTTTACAGAAACAGGGAACAATCAGTGTGAGTTTGGGGGGAATGATACTGATTTCTGTTTTGCACAAGGTTAGTTTGATCTACCTTTGTAATATCTAGTTGGAAATGGCCAACAGATAGTTGATTATGGGGGCTGAGCTGAGGAGAGATATTGGGGCCGGATGTGTAGATTTTGGAGTCACCTGTGTAAAGATGATAATTGAACCCTTGGGAGCTGATGAATTCACCAACAGCACAGAAGCAAAACAGGTCAAGTCCTGGGAACTACAAGCTGTAACTCAGTTTATTAAGATAGCCTAAGTAATTATAAGGGAGTAATGGGAGATGGGTGTGCTCAGAATGTAGAGTATTGAATGCTAGGTTAAGGAATTTGGACTTTATCTTGTAAGCAAATGGGGATTACTTAACATTTTCGATCAGGAAGGTAACAGAAATACTGCTGGAAGAGACCATAGAGATAATTTAGTTGGCCCCTCCCTGTCTCCTTAAAACTGCACGATTATTTTGGTAGTGTGTGCAGGATAGATAGACCGAAAGCAGTTAGTATTGCAGCCATTCAGTGTAGGTTGGTAAGTAGCCAGTTGGCAAAACCTTGCTCCACTCACAAACATTTCGGTTTTTGTTTCCTCCCCTTCTCCAATCCTACACATATTTTGTGGAGAGTGGGTGACCTCCCCTTCTCCCCTGCCTTTGAACACTTCTTGGGGCTCTGCACCTGATGGAGGGCGCCAGGCATGGCCCAGCAGGTTACCTGCAGCTCTACCTTCCTCCTTGGGTTTTTGTGAGGACAAGTCTTTCTAAACCTTCCAGTGCTCTTGAAAGGAGAGTTGTGTCAGTGTTTCCTGGTTGTGACAACAAGGCTTGCACAGTTTTTGATTTTGTCAGTGTAGATCCTCCCTCCAGGGACAGTCAGCCCTCTATGAATTGGTGGCTCAGTCACCTGGGCCTGACCTAGTGCCTAAAGAGAGCAGACAGCTCTTAAGGAACGCTCGTTGATTCAAGAACAGACGGGACTTCTGGAGATGCCAAGGCCCATGTAGGCGGCCTGGCTGATGGACACCAGGTTTGAGCCACCAAAGTCTTTCCCCTGCCAATCAGGTAAATGGACTCAGCAAATTCCTGACGCTCTCTGTGCCCCTGTCCCAGTGGTTGCTATGGAGCCAAGCACTTTTTAGACACAAAAGGCCAACCAGAGAAGTGGGTGCTACATAATAGAAATACCCCTCGGCCGTCTACCATGCTGAAGGCTTTTTCCAAAGCCCCCAGCACAAAAATTAGGGAAGTCCTCACCACCTTGGAGCAGGGGAGCACAAGCAGGACCTGTGAGTATAATTATCTGTAAGGTGCGGGTGGAACAATGAGAGCGAGGGCGGGGGCGAAGACGAGGGCCGACAAACTCTCTACTACAGTTCTCACCTCGGTCCCGCCCTACTACTCAAACGCTTTTAGGGCAGCTACGCGCCGCCCACCCATGGAGTCCCCTTCGAAGGGGCCCAATAGGAGGGTGACCTCCAAGCCCCGCCTCCCCCTTTGGCCCCGGAGTCTCCTGCCCCAGGTTCACCTGGGCTTTGGACTCCGCAGACTCCCAGTCTCCGCCCCGAGCCTTGTGTGGAGAAGTTCGAGGTCCAATCAGCGCAGCGCACGGGGATCTAAGCCCCGCCCCTCGGGAGGCCGGGGCTACTCCGGGGGCAGGGGGAGAGGGAGAACGAGCGTCTGGGTTTGCCAGAAGGGCGGGGCATTTGGAGAAAGCCCGGTGGGGTAAGCGAGAGCTGCCTGGGCTCTCCCAGCCATTTAGTGTGTGACTTCGAGGATATGGCGTCCTCTCTGTTCTATTCTGAGAAATGAGGGGGCGAGGTTGGACCAGAACCCCTGTAAAGCCTGTCGACCTGTGACCCCCTGAGGCCGAGTTTGGGAAGCATCGCCCCAAGCTTCATCTCACAGCAGCCGTTTCCACCTGCCTGTCCCAGGACACCCTAGCTCAGGCTTCTCCCCGTGCCTCAACAGCTTCACCTGTAGACTGTCTGCTGGCTCTTCAGGGCCTATTTCAAGTCACTAAACATTTATTAAGCACCTGCTTATATGTCAGGCACTGTGCTAAGTTGTGTCTTATTCTGGAAGCCTTTTCCTCCCTTCTACCTGGAAATGTTCTATCTCTCTTTCATGCCCCCATGATACTTGTTACTACTGAAATGGAGTTCAACTAATTTTTAGACCTACGTTAACTCCTTTTTTTTTTAGTAAATTTTTAAATTTTAATTTTTAAATATGAATGGGATGTCCCAGTGAAGACTTTTCAGTGTAATTTAGGTAATGAGTTCAGAAGGTAGGATAGGGTTAAGAATAGATTTCTGTGAGTTATTTTTTTAGTGACATATATCAGTAGTTAAAATTTGTCTAGTTGTTAAGTCCTGGCCTGCCTTCTGATCTTATCCAGATGCACCTTTTGTCCCAAACCCGGAAAACCCTTAAATGTTCAAGTCCCCTTATCTCGCTTTGACTGGGTCTTATTCAGATGTCTTTCTGTTCCCAACATTATCTATTCAATCCCTGAGACCTCCCAAAAACAATTGTAAATTATCTTCCTAACTGCACATTTTTTATTGCTTCTTTGACATTATCTCAACGAACTAAGAAATATATAGAGATGTATACTATGTCCTTTGTCCTATGTTAGAGTCTGGCTTGTGAGATTGTGAGCCGAGTTAATGGACAGCTGTGAGGGAGGGGGAATTGAACCTTCAGGGTTATATAAAACCGACTTCTACCTCTGTGGGGTCGTCTCCCGTTCATCAGAGCTTACTGATGGAGGGACACCCAAATCTCGAGATTTGAAATAATAATAATAATTATAGCTATAATAAATTAACTTTCTGTTTCTCCTATGTTTTGTTTTATTTTTAATTTGAGTGGCATCCTACACAAATATATAATGAGAAAAAAAAATTGTTATGTACACAGCAGACCATAAGAGAGGATTCAATATAAAACAGTAAATTTCCATTTCAAGAAAATCTATAAAATAACTACACATTGTTTTCAAAGCTGCCCAGCTTTTCTTTACTTCACTCTTGGTTTTCTTTTGTTCTCTGCTGCTCGCTTTTTACTTTATTTTTCCCCTCCCCCCCAAGGCTATAATTAAGCTGTATATATATATATACATAGATATCAGTAAACATACACATATGTAACACCTACACTCATACACATATATGTAAGACTGTACTATGCTGATCTCCAGCTGTCATCTGTCTGAAGGAAGCATCTGCTTTCATAAGTCCAAGTCTTTCCATGTTTTTCTAAATCAACCAGCTCATCATTTCCTACACCACAGCAATATTCCAACCCAATCACATCCTGTCTGAGAGATTGTCTATGAAAGCTTTTTCTAACCTTTCTACAATTCTTCTATTCTTGGCTACATAGGTTTCGTTTATACAAGAAAATTTTAATTTAAAATAATGGAAAATATCTTTTTTACACTTCAATTATGCTCTCCCTTATAATATAGTTTAAGGTCTAATACTGCTGAATCTACTTCCTTTGCATCTGTTTCTTGGTTTCTTTGAAGTTCCTGACCAAATGAATTTTGTTATTATTTTTTCTAACTCAATAAAAATTTTTTTAGTAATTTAATTGGGATGACATTGAATAAATAGATTAATTAGGTAAAATTGTCAATTTAAAAATTATATTGGCTTTACCTATCCATGAACAGTAAATATTACTTCAGTTCTTTAGATCTGAGTTTATTTGTGTAAAAAGTGTTTAATATTTATATTCACATAGTTTTTGTGTCTGTTTTGGCAGGTGTATGCTCAGGTATTTTATACTGTTCAGGTATTTTAAATGGTCTAAAACAATGTTGAATAATATTGCTGACACATAGTATAGTTTCTCTATTTTTCACTTTTGATTAAATCTGTTTTAACTTTAACTTTGAGATCATGATTACTATCCCTGCTTTTTTTACGTACTAAATTCTACTCCTGCCCTTTATTTTATCTTTGCATGTATCTCTCGTTTTTGTTTCTGGAAAGCAATATATTGTTGAATTCAAGTTTTTAATCTGCTATCCATTTCTGTTTTATGAGTAAATTCGTCCCATTCACATTCTAAGCTACAATTACTTGTGTATTTTCCTCCTTCCTATTTTTCCTCACTATCCTCACCCTATTTACCTTCTTTCTCCTCACTCTGCTTTACTTCTACTGTTACCTTTCCCTCCTAATTCCTTAACCTACCCACCCCTGCAAGAGTCCTTCCCTTATCCTCTTCCTCAACCCTATCCCTTCCTTGCCCTTTTATTGCTTTCTGAATTAGAAGACTTTTATACCCTTCTAGATATATACATATATGTGTGTATATATACACATATATGTGTGCACACATATGTATGTATTTATGTGTGTATATACATATATATACACACACACATACATACACATACATGTATGTATAACCTCTTTAACCCATTCCCAATGAGAATAAAGTTCTAGTGCTACCTGCATTCCCCCTCTACTAGCTTCTTCCACATCATTTTTTCCCTTTGTGCCTCATTTGTCTGAGATAATTGCTCATTTTTATCTCTCCCTACAGTTTTATTTTTTAGAATCACCCCATCATACTCAGCTCAGCCCAAGCCTTTCTTTCAAACTACCCAAATGATGATGACAATCATAAAAGTACTGCTAATATTTTCACATGTACAAAGTAAACAATTTGACCTTATTGAGTCCCTTATAATTGGTCTTTAGTGTTTACTTTATATGTCTCCTGGATGTTATATGTTATGTGTTGAATTTTCCCTTAAGTTCTGAGGTTTTTGTAAAAAAAACAAACCCCCAAACCTGACAGTCTTTCAGTTCATTAAATGTTCTTTTTTTTTTTTTCATTCAGGACTATACTTAACTTTGCTGGGTAAGTTACCCTTGGTCATAAACCCAGGTCTTTTCTTGTTTCAAGATCTATAGTCCTTCAACTTAGTAGCTGCTAGGTCTTGTGTAATCCTTAGTGTAGCTCCATGATATTTAAATTGTTTTTTTTTCTTGTGCTTCCAGTATTTTTTCCTTAACCTGGGAGGTTTGAAACTTGACTATTATATTCCTGTAAGTTTTACTCCTGGAATCTCTTTCAGGTGGTGATCAGTGGATTTTTTCCTATTTCTGCTTTGCCTTCTTGTTCTAGAACTTCAGGGCAATTTTCTTTGATAATGTCTTGTAATATTGGATCAAGATTCTTTTTTTTTAATCATGATTTTCAGGCAGTCCAATTATTCTTATATTATTTCTCCTTGATCTGTTCTTCAGATCAGTTGTTTTTCTGATGAGATGTTTCACTTTTTCTTCTATTTTTTTCATTCTTTTGATTTTGTTTTATTGCCCAATTCTAGTTTTCAAGGAATTATTTTCTTCCATAAGTTTTTGATTCTCTATTTCTAATTGATTGTCTTTCTTTTCATAATTTTTTTGATTTTCCTTTTTTTCTTCTTTTTTTTAGGCAATTGGGATTAAGTGACTTGCCCAGGGTCACACAGCTAGTAAGTGTCAAGTGTTTGGTCTGAGGCTGAATTTGAACTCAGGTCCTCCTGATTTCAGGGCCAGTGCTCTATCCACTTCACCACCTAGCTGCCCCTCTCAAGTCCTTCTTACTGTTATTTTCTGAGGTCTATTTCAGGGCCCAACCTTGGGCCCTCCTCATCACTCCTAAGTCACAGCCAGGGCCCCCCAACCATACTGTCAAGCAAATGGTCTTGTTCCCTGTAGTCCTCCGATGGCTCCAAACTACAGTTGTCCTTTCTGCCCTGAAACTAAAACCAGGGACCCTGCTCTTCTGCAAGTGCCCACAGCTAACAGGTCCCAACCCTTCACTATTCAACTCACCAGGTATGTGCTAGCTCCCTCTCCCAGCAGCTACAGCCCAGATGGTGTCCCTGAAAAGTAGGCTTAGTTTTCTCCTACTCAGCCAGCAGACCCCAAAGCTGTCTGCAAGATGAAACTTTCTAAGGCTGAGGCTGTCTTTCAACCCAGCTGCCCCCAGGGCTTGTTGTTTGCAGATTCCTCAGAGCTGGCTTGGAGGTGTCTGCACTTCATTTAGGCCAAACCTCTTTTGGTAGATATTTGTTAATGAATGAATGAATTGATTGATTAATCAAATTAATTAATTAATTATTAATATGATGATATTTATACATGTGGCATTGTATGTTAAACACATGCATCTGTGCAGATGTATGAGGATTGATTGGATAGCAGCTGATTTTTTTGGGGGGGTCAGATACAATGAAACTCGGAATGTAGGTAAAGATTGATAAGAGCCTGAACTAGCATTGTTATAGTGAGATCAATAATAGCTAACATTTATATAGTGCTCATTATTGCCAGGCTAATGTGCTAGTCGCTTTACAATTATTATCTTCTTTGATCCTTAACCCTGAGAGGTAGATTCTATTATTATCCCCACTTTACAGATAAGGAAACAGAGGCAATAACTTGCCTAGAGTAAGTGTCTGAAGCTAGATTTGAATGCAGTTTTCCTGACTCCAGGACCAAACCTAGATGAGTAAAAAATGAGAATACTGTTTTTACTAATAGATTAGTAATAAGACATCTGAGTTACTATAATAGGCAACTGATTGGATGGGAGGTGAGGGGTGTTGAGGGGTGGGATGGTGATATTAAAGACCAAGAAGAATTAAAGTTAACTTTGAGATTATAAACTTGAGTGTCATTTGATTCAGTAAACACCAAATGTCCCAAGTCCACAAGCTAAGCACTGAACTTCAAAAATGAAGAGACATTTTTACCTTTGAAGGAGTTTAAAGTGTACTGAGAAGATGGTGTATCCACACTATTGGAAATTGAGAAGCTATAGAAAAAGTCAGGTTTAGGTGGGGAATGATGAGTTCAGTTTGAGGTATATTGAGTTTTAGACATTATTGGTTTGATTTCTCATTAAGATGTCAATGTGAAAGGTCATAGGGGAGACCCACTCTCCCATAAATGCTCCCAACACAAATCTAAAAAGGGCTTAGGAAAATACTAATGATCTAGAAAATAAAAGAGAAGCATCAGTACACTTCTCCATGTGTATAGGACCATATAAGAAAGAAATCTTGAAGCCTGGAGGTACCTGGAATGGCAAGCAGATGCCAAGAGGGCTGAAAGCTAGTCAGGCCCAGTAAATGGGCCTGAAACCTATTAGGTGTTCTGAGCTGGGATGCTTCCTACCGGGAAGGTGAGAAGCCACCTTAAGCTCCAGTAATTGGGATTTGAAGC